TTGCTTGTTATACTTTTAATGGTGAATTTTTACCACTTTGAGCTCTCTCCCGAAGTTCCTTTTTAAAAAGGGATATTTAAAGCCCGACTTCTGTGGTGATTTGCTTTACATTCAGAACAATGAGGTAAAAATAACTGATTGGTCAACATGTCAGTGACATCTTCCTCAGTATAAACTCCTGGTGACTTCCTGTGTCAGCCAGTGTGAGGTAAGCCGTCTACAGCTTACCGCTCCCGCTAATTACAACTAGAAACTCTGCACGTCATTTAGAACCAGCCCCCAGTGACTCTGGAAAGTAAGCAATGGGCATTTAACAACAACAACAAACCCTGCGGAAGAAGGGCCTGACGATCTGCTTCCGTCAAGATCACAGCCAAAGCAGCCCCCTGGGGCAGTTCTCCTCTGTCCTGTAGGGTTACAGGGAGTCGGAATGGACTGGATGACAACGGGTTTGGTTAATGTGCTTTCTTCATCTGAGTGGGGATTATAGGACTTTTCCTTTAGTATTCCTTAAACTCACGTCTCCATTTTATATACTTTTTACATATGGTATATTTACAATTGTTTTTAAATTATTGGCCTTTTTATATACTAAAAAATAACCAACAAGGAAGTATTGAGAAGGAAAGTAAATCTGATTCACAATAACAACATTATGATTAAATATATAAACTAGCTAAGAATGCTTAAAAAAAGTTGCAGCAGTGTATCGACGGAACTGTCGAATATTCAAGAGGACATGAAGCAAGAGATATCATTGCTGATGTCAAATGGGTCTTGGCTGAAAGCAGAGAATACTAGAAAGATGTTTACCTGTGTTTTATTGACTATGCAAAGGCATTCAACGGTGTGGATCATAACCAATTATGGACATTATGAAGAATGGGAATTCCAGATCACTGAATTGTACTTATGAGAAACCTGTACTACCCCAAGAGGCAGTCATTCATACAGAACAAGGGGATACTGCGTGATTTAAAATCAGGAAATGTGTGCGTCAGGGTTGTATCCTTTCACCCTACTTATTCAGTCTGTATGCTGAGCAAATAATCCGAGAAGCCAGACTGTATGAAGAGGAACATGACATCAGAATGGGAGGAGGACTCATTAACAACCTGCGTTATGCAGATGACACAGCCTTGCTTGCTAAAAGAAAAGAGAACTTGAAGCCCTTAGTGATGATGATCAAAGACTACATCCTTCAGTATGGATGACACTTCAACGTAAAGAGAACAAAAATCCTCGCAACTGGACCTATAAACAACATCATGATAAATGGCGAAAAGATTGAAGGTGTCACAGATTTCATTTTACTTGGATCCACAATCAACACCATGGAAGCAGCAGTCAAGAAATCAAAAGACGCATTGCGTTGGGCAAATCTGCTGCAAAAGATCTGTTTAAAGTGTTAAAAGCAAAGATGTCACTTTGAGGACTAAGCTGCACCTGACCCAAGCCATGATATTCTTGATTGCCTCATATGCATGTGAAAGCTGGACTATGAATAAGGAAGACTGAAGAAGAATTGATGCCTTTGAACTATGGTGTTGGCAAAGAATACTGAATAGACCATGGACTGCTGGAAGAATGACCAAGTCTGTCTCGGAAGAAGTACAGCCAGAATGCTCCTTAGAAGCAAGGATGGCGAGACTTCATCTCACGTACTTTGGACATCTTATTGGGAGGGACCAGTCCCTGGAGAAGGAGATCATGCTTGGTAAAGTAGATGGTCAGCAAAAATGAGGAAACCCTCAACAAGATGGATTGACACAGTGGCTGCAACAATGGGCTCAAACGTAACAACGATTGTGAGGATGGTGCAGGACCGGGCAGTGTTTCACTCTGTTGTACATGGGGTCACCATGAGTCCGGACTGACTTGACTGCACCCAACAAGAACAGCTAAGAATGTATTGGATATCCACATAGAAAATTCCATAAAACTTTACTGAGTGATATGAAAGAAAGCTTGAATAAATTAAGGATATAAATTCTCCCTAAATTAAACCATAAATTTAACACAATGTTGACAAAATGGTTTTAAAGATCAACTGGAGTTATGTGTGTGTGTGTTCTTGAAGATTTATAGGAGTTCCTGATATATCTTTGATAATAGTCCTTTTTGGTTGATACCCCCTCCGCTCCCTGCCCTATCCTGGTACTTAGCTAGGTTTCCAGTTCAGTTATGATGGGTATTTTCTCCTTTTCCTTTTCTTTTTAATACAACAAACTTCACCAGAGTTATTTGTCATCTTTACTACACTTACCTCTTTCAGTGTCTGTTGGATTTTTTGTCTCCTTATTTAACCTCATGATCCAAAACTGTTTTCATCATGGATATTTTTATGGCAAACCTTCTGAAGCCTTATATGCCTGAGAATGCTTTTTTTCACGCACTTATATTTAAATGGCAGTTTGGCTAGATGTAAAATTCTAGATTCTCAGTTCTTTTCCTTCAATAAATTTAAATATACTATTGCGTTGTTTTCCTGTATCCTGTGTTAATCTGATTTCTGTTCCTTTAAATGTGATACGCTTTCTCTTTCTGGAAGCTTTCATAATTTTCTTGGTCTTTGGTATTCTTAGGAGCCCTGGTGGTTAAGCCCTTGGCTGCTAACTGGAAGGTCAGTGGTTTGAACCTACCAGCCACTCTGCACGAGAAAGGTGACCGTCTACTTCCATAAAGATTACAGCCTTGGAAACCCTATGGAGCAATTCTGCTCTGTCCTGTAGGGTCACTATGAGTCAGAATCAACTTGAGGGCAATGGGTTTGGTTTTGAGTTTGATATCCTTCAATTTCACTACAATCTAGCTAATTTACAAGTATTCTTCATCTGTAAAACGTATGATAATACCTCACAGAATATTGTAAGGATTAAACAAAATAATCTGCATAAAGCACTTAGAATAATGCCTGCCAAGTAGTAAGCACTAACTAGGTATTAGCCGCTGTGTTTATTATTATAATTATTATATCCAGTTTTGTGAATTTTGGAGTCGTTTTCATTTCCTCTGGTTGCCTGCTTTTTAAAGACCTTTTGTGCTTATTCCAGAATTTGGTCAGCTGTAAATCTGTTCCTATTGGCTATTTTTTCTCTTCACTTTAGGTAGAATACTGTACATTGTGGGTGAGATATTAGGCAGACTCTAGATTGTTATCTTTCTCTGAAGAGTGTTTGGTTCTGTTCTTGCAGAGAGTTAAATTGATCTTGTGGAGGCTTGTTTGTAGGACTAGTCTCTTTTGGCTTTGTTTTTAATCCTGGGATTAGATTCTTAACTAAGACACAGCCTCTCTGGGGTTTCAGTGGAAAGCCCAAGGTGCCTACCAGACCCTTCTAATTTGGCGGGACTTGATCTCCCTCTCTGTCTTCATAGAGGAGGCAGATGTTGAAACCTCTCCTGAGCACTTTCAGCCTTTTAGCTACTGTTTTCCGCTGCAATCGTTGGTGTCCCGTCCTGTGGGCGTGCAGTTTAGGAGTCAGCCCAGGACTTAGGAAAGTTGACACGCAGATTTTGAGGCCTTCTCCGTCCTTGGTAGCCTCCTTTCCAAGTCTCGCTCCCTCAACTTCCCAGCAGCCTTGAATTCCAATCTCTGAGGAAGACTACTGCTTTTTATCTGAGGCTATCCCTGTGTGCTGTGCGAACCGAGGACACCCTTGGGAGGGGCCGGGTCAAGGGGGGCCCATGCAGAGTCACTGCCTCCTCAAGACCACACCCCTCCAGTTCCTGCCTGCTGGTTTGCTCTTTGGTGCCTTGTTGTATTTTGTCCAGAGCTTATGATTTTTATTGGCAAGAGTGTTAGCCTGACACAAATTATTCTGTCATTACTGGAAACCAGAAGCCCAATCAATAAATGCATTATAGATAAAAAGACAAACATAACAAAATAGCCTGGCTCACACGGGCCTCAGACTCGGAAATGAGTTTCCTGTAGGTGGTTGTTATCCATCGAGGGAGCTGATTTACGCGAACGACTCATAGGAGCCGGGGGAGTGTGTGTGGGCTGGCGGGTGCAGAGGCGTGGGAGCAGGGCGAGTGGAGGTACCTGGAGGTGCAGTGAGCAGCGGACGGAGCCCCTGGGCGGCGTACAGTCAGTACCGCCCTGCGTGCAGCGAACCCGGCCCTCACTGTTATTGAATCTTTTGCTGTCCACTGAACACGGCTCGTCCTTGTGCTCACCCTCCCCAGGGTCCCTTGTCCTTCGTCAGCCTTCCTCCACGTCTCATTTCCGACCGGTGCTGCAGGTAGACACATTTTGTAGACAGCGTTAGTATTTGCTTTGTGCATATGTTTTTGAGACGTCATTCGTAATTTTAAAAGCAGTGAGTTAATCGTTTCACATTTCTCCTACTAGAAACACTGCGTTGCCTTTCATTGTGTTACCATTGACTCTGCCCTGCTGTGTTCCAAGTAGCCCTGACAGGAAAAAAAGGCCATTTCCTCCTCCTCTGAGCACACGGGATACCGGGTACGCTCTCCCAGCTTGGGGAGGCTGGCCTGCAGAGAGGACGCCTCTCACCTCCGGCTGTGGTGGCCCCGGGATAATTAAAATGCTAGTATTGACTGGGCTTTTGTCTTCACCCACATATCTCTTTTGTGTGCCTTGAGGTTCTTCTTTCATTCCTTGTTACTCTCCCCAGCTCACTTTCTTATGGGGAAAAAAAAAATAAATGGAAGTCCAGTCCGCCCCGTTGTTTCGTTGGGCAGCTTGGTTTATGAGCATCTCAGCCCCACTCCCCAGTGACTCGCCTTTATGTGGCTGCAAACTCATTTCTTTACTTTCTCCTGAAAACTTACTGTTGTAGCCCTATAGCCCCTTCAACAGGCGGGTGATGAAATTTTCTCCATAAACCCGAAAGCTGCCAGAATTAAGAAAATCTGGGCTTCATTTTCTGCTGGCAGCCCGCATCCCTACCTTTAGCTCCTTATTCTCCCTGCCGGGCTGCTGCATGTTCGGGAACGTCTCCGTTTGTGTGATTCGTTGTCTCCTTTTCCTGCAGGTTTTGCATGCAGAAATGTGTCCGTCTGGTGCCAGGAGTCACACTGGATTTGATAGAAAAGTAAGTAAGACTTTTCAGCTCTTGAGGCTTTCTGGGTCTGAGGGACATATTTCCCTTTTTTTCTTAGGTTTTCAGAAGTGTTATCGGTCAACGCAGGGATGGTTCCCTTTCCTCTGGGCGCGTTCTTAGTTCTCTGACTAAGACCACGCTTGCGATAGCTGTCTCGGTGCTTCGCGCAGGGGATAGCTGAGTTTGGGGCCGTATTCAAAGTAAAAATAAAAACCTGAATTCTTTTAAAAATGTAAAAACACTCCAAACACTAAGCCAAAGCAAGAAAAACTATTGCTCTACACGCAAACCATGTCTGCCTTCCCTGACTAAAGGAGCTGTTATCACAGCTTACCTTCTGCGTTGTTTTCTCAAACTTCCCACGCCCCCAGTTGTCCGTCTCACGGCAAACTCATTTCCGAAGCTGAATCATAAAGTGACAAGTGTCAGTCAGAAGTTGTCCCTCGTGAAGCATTCTCATCATGCGTGTCTTACGTGCTCCTTCCCCGCCATCTGACCAGCTTGCCTTTTTCTTGTTGGAACCTCTCTGGAGCTGAAATGATGACTCTGAATTTGACCTGCCTTTTTGTTGTTGTTTGTGTGTTCATTTTATTCCTCTTGACTCATCTTGATTCGTTTAGACAGGATGGAAAATTATGGCGTTGTTTTGAAACCTTCTGCCCTGAATCCCATGTCTTCTAGAATTAACATACAAGATAATGGTTTTCAATGTTATACAAAATCACGTGTTTAAACAGCCAAGGCCTAGGTTTAGTTAAATGAGATAGGAAAAGCAAGCCTGCTTCTAGGTTTCTCTCCTGGGGAGTGACCTGCCTGGCATATAAGGGAAAGCATACGCGAATAGGATACCTAGACGCCCATCAGCAGGGAAGCAGTGTGTGAGTTACGGCACAGGCCTTGGTGGAAATCTCACTAAGTGCAAACAGAAAGAATGCAGTAGCTGCCCTTGTTTTCACGTGGACCAGGCCACCAGACACGTCATTGAGAGAAAAATGCGAATTGATTCTGATACACACGGTAGGATACCAAGAGTCTTTCAAGAATAACGCAAGACTGGGCGTCAGTGCACTTAAACAATACACCTGTGGTTACCTCGGGGGAGTGGAATTTGTAGGAAGGAGAGGGGAACAGCAGTGTCAAGGGACTTTGGCTTTTTCTGTCTTGTTTAATTTTTTTTTTACAAGAATATAATCATATAAAATACATGTGTAAATAAATTTAAGAGAAAGAATCCACAAAATAAAACGAGCACCTGAAAACACCTCCCAGATGGCTTCTCTTTTCAGCTCTTGGTTTACGCATCTAAGGAAACATGTGTGGCTGCTGAGCTTCCTTGCTTAAGGGAGCTTTTGTTCTCGAGCAAAACGGGGTGGCTGTGACCAGAGAGAATCAGGCACCATTGATGGGTGCCAGCGGGGCACGTGGAAGGTCTGACAGGACCTCCGCTCAAGACTGCGGCTTCATTACCACAAAGCCAGCCCAGGGCTGACCGTGATTTCAAAACTGTTTTTAGAAAGCACAGCCTGTGGAGGCAGGTGGTACCAGATTGAGGTGTGTTGATAGATTTAGGGGACGGCAAGCTGGATTTGAAGTGTCAGGGAATTGTGCGGGTCCTGATTGAGAACCAGTGGTAGAGCTGAACCCAAGGGAGCTATTATTAACGTCACGTGGCCCAGCACAGATGACATGGCAGCAGTGGGGCTTGCAGGTGGGGTTCTGTCGTGGTGGGTGCGCACGGTCTGCCCCGGTGCTCACGGTGTCAGTTACGGCTCAAATTCCATCTCCCCCACGGTGTATCATGGGACACACACAGTAAGCTGTCTTGTTCTTCTTGTAAACCTGCCAGTTGAGTACATGCTGCATGCCAGGCACACGCCTTTGCTGACTCTACAGATAGGGGGCCATTGTGTCACCTGGTGACAAATGATGGCGAGGGTGCTGCTGTTGACCAGGTAGGGAAAACCAGTCATCCGGGGGGTGTCCTTCCTCTTCCCATCCACTCTCTGCCTTTCCTTCTTACCAGGGCTTGCTTGTCAGGGAGTCGGGACGAGGGCCCGTGCTGCAGAGAAGCCGAGGGGCTGGGTGCAGTGTGGTCTGTCGTGGACAGTCCTCCACTTGTGCCCCTGTCCTCGTCCGACTCTTCCAGTTCTCTTCTGGAGGTGGAACTGGGCTACTGCCGCCCGGTGAGAGATGCCGTCCCATGTTCTAAGCTGGGCTTCCTGGGTGATGAGACACAGACATCTCAGAGGACTGTTCCTTAGAACACTGTTAGTGAAGCTGAACACACAGTGAGGTCCCTGAGAGCGCCGCCCGGGAAAGATTTTCTAAACAATAAAAAATAAAGGACCACGTGATCTGCTGGTCAGCCCAATCTGCTTGGTTTGGTTCCTTGACAAGATTTCAGAGTTTTATAAAGCTGTTCTGTCAGAACTCAATTTAGGCTCTATCTTGTGAGTTTTTATCTCCCTTTCTATTTCTTAAGTCATAAAACTCTCTACTACCTAACATGTATTTATACACCCCTATGCGTATGTGTATATAGACATAACCAAATAAACCATATCCGTTTAAATTTCAACAAAGCTGCATTTTATCATAACCAGGTTGCTCGTGTTGGCTCATCAGACGGTTCTTGGTTAAAAATGTCTCTGATTCCTTTTCTTGCCTCATGTGAATATTTCCAGTTGATTTGGATGCAGGCAGTTCTAGTCCTCCGTGAGCTCTGCCTCAGCCTCCATCTTCATGGCGCCGTGAGGTCTGAAATCTCGGTCCTCAAATGCCCCGCTGTGTGTGTCCCATCCCCTCCTGGTCACTCAGCACGGCCACAACCACTCCGAACTGTGCTTGGTTCACGTGACTGAGCCATGTGAGCCCAGACGCCTGCCCGTATCCCCAGACTCTTGAGTAAAGAGAGCCGTTAAAAAATCAGTGAGCTTAAAAAATTATTTTAAAGTTCTTTAGTCAACCCGCCTCATTTTTCTGAAAAGGAACCTGGAGTTTATTTAGTTTGGTTCAGCTTCCTGAATGGCATTTTACGCTTGGTTAGTGCTGAGATGGCCTAGAGGCCAGGTCTCTGGTCAACCTGTCTGTGGTCCTGTCCACCACACACGGCTTCTGAAGCTGCCCTTGAACGAGACTTTGCCGTCGGGCTGACCTGCTCCTGTCCTGTCCTTTCCCCAGGCTTAAAGTGGGGAAAGCAACCCCACCCAAAGCACCAGCCACAAAGAAAACGATTGGTGAGATGGACTTCCTCGAAATGTGACGTGTTTGCTCTCTGGAAGACACTGCTAAGAGAATGAAGAAAAGACAGGCTACAGACTTAGAGAAAATATTTGCTAATCACATATCGAACAAAGGACTTCTATCTAGAATATGTAAAGGTATCTCAAAACTCAAAAAAAAAGGGAAACTCAAGTTAAAAATGAGCAAAAACTGTGAAGAGATAGTTCACCAAAGAGGATTTGAGGACGGCAGCTAAGCACATGAGGATTATTGGCCATGAGGTGAATGCAGATCAAAACCATGGTGGTTGGGGCACGGTCCACAGATCTATACAGATGTCAAAATTCATAGAACTGCACACCCAGAAAAGTCAATTTACTATATGACAACTTAAAAAATAAAATGAATACGTAGTGTGTGTGTTGGGGAACACTAGAAGAGAGTACAGGCCCAAATGACTATCTTAGTCCCCGAGTGCTGCTGTAACAGAAATACCACAAGTGGGCGGCTTTAACAAACAGAAATTTATTTTCTCACAGTTTAGGAGGCTAGAAATCCAAACACAGGGTGCTGACTCTAGGGGAAGGCTTTCTCTGTGTTGGCTCTGGGGGAAGGTCCTTCTCTCTTGTTCCTGGGCTCCTTGGTGATCTTCATGTGGCATGGCATCTGTCCTCCCCCATTTCTGCTTTGCCAGGTACTTGTTTAATCTCTTCTGTATCTCAGAAGAGATTGACTTCAGACACACCCAACGTTAATCCTGCCTCATTAATATAATGAAGAAAACCCATTCCCAAATGGGATTATAACCACAGGTATAGGGGTTAGGATTTACAACACATATTTTTAGGGGCATAATTCAGTCCATAACAATGACTAAAGTCAATTGCTTTCCTGTATTCCAACAATGAAAAACTGGAGTTTGAAAATTAAAAATATGATACCATTTACATTAGCACCAAAAACCTTAAATACTTAAGTATAAATCTAACAAAATATGTGTAATATCTATATGGGGATAATTTAAAAACCCTGATCAAAGATATGAAAGATTGAAATAAATGGAGAGGGATTCTATGTTCATGGATAGGAAGACTCAGTATTATTAAGGTGTCATTTCTTCCCAATGTGGTCTATAGACTCAATGTGTAAAAATGACATGGTGGCAGCATCCGACCTCCTCTAACTTCACAAAGGGGAAGGGGAACCAAGAGCAACTACCCAAGGCCAATTCCTATGAGGTGGAGGTCAGACACGCCTCCACCCTCCAAACTTTTTACCAATTCTCACACCAACCGTCCCTCCCACAGCACTCTCTACTTCTCTTCTGGATTCAATAATTCATTGCAATGACTGCACAGAACTCACAGACCATACTTACAGTTATGGGGTTTATTAGGGAAGTAACAGGTTACAGGACCAGGAACACTTAAGATACAGTTCTTCCATAAGGGCAGCTTCTTCTCAGCCATGCCTGCAGGCAGGCCTCTCCCTGGTCCTTGGTCTCTCAGCCCAGCCCCTGCGCTGTTTGGGCAAGTGTTACAAAGCTCTTTAGCTCCGCCAATAAACGCTCAGGGGCAACACACTCTGCCAGTAAGCCTCAGCCCAAAGGTGCTCAGCTCTCTCACTCCATGGGTCTGTAAGGCTACCTCCACCGACAACTGCCTGGAAGCACCCTACTCCACCAGCAAGCCTCCTGCCCGAAGGTACTCAGCTCTCTTGCTCTGTGGGCCAGGAAGCCCACTGTGCTGTCTTGCGCTGATTTCCTGGTT